TGTGGAAAGTCAGTGCTGTGCATGTTCCACGCACATGGAAATCGATTGGCATATATGTCCTGGCTCAAGTGCACCTCTGCAGGTGTGTAGAGGGTCTGAGAGGATGTATAGATTCATTTTGGCACTGTTACAGATAGTTGAATCTGGAAATATGAATGTCTGAAAGTCTAGATTTGAAGAAAGATTTGATGTGCATGGTTCTCCACAATGAATAATAATAAAGGCAAGCCTCTCTCAACATGCTCAATAGTCGAAGCACATGAGAAGCAATGTCTGTTTTAGCTTAAAGCACATATTATATCCATGATCTAAAACTGCAAAACTGCAAAACTGCAAAACTGCAAAAAAAAAAAAAAAAATAAAAAATAAATAAATATATAAATATAAATATATAATATATATAATATATAATAATATATATATATATATATATATATATATATATATATATATATATATATATATATATATATATATATATATATATATATATATATATATATATATATATATATATATTATTTTAATGTCTAATTTTGTCTTTGGCCTCAACAAGAAATAATTGAGACAAGAGATTTTGACTGGTTGTGTTGTACACCACCTAATGCCTCTGGGCATTGCAATATGAAGCACATGTTGCTCAATGGGCTTAGAGTTTAAACTGTAAGGATTAGGAGTCCAAAGCCAAGGCCAAATAAACGTAAGGTCTGAGATGGAGAATGCTGTACAGGAAAATAACAGGGATTAATCCAGGTTGTCTGCAGTAGAATCTATGCATGAGCTCTTCCTAAGATTTATGGTCATCAGACAACACTAGTCATCCTATGATGGATGAAGTAGTCATAATCTGTTTTTTCATGTAGTCATGTTCAAAATAATAGCTCAAATGGAAGTAAAATGACTCACAAAAGCTTCTAAAATGTACATTTCAAAATTACTTCTTATAAAGCTGCCCAATATATGTTCTGGTGGAGGGTCTGTCACCTGAGAAGGTGTGCTTGTCATTGTATTTTTTATATTATTTAATAATAATTGTTAGATAGACCAGTTTAATGGCATACCATTAGCCAAAGCAACAACATATTCACAAGCTAGACCCCCCACCAGAAGAATTATGTAGTGCACCTTTAACAAAAACATACATTACTATTCTCCCCTCTAGCACTTACAATGTCTTTCTACTGGAAAGCTTCCAGACCAAGGTTTAATACATGGCATACTGCTGTGAAGACTACAAAAGCTCATATAGTACAGTGTCCTTTAACAAGAATCCCTTTACACTAGGAAATCTGTCTGTGTGAAATAAAATACATTTTATGAGTGTCTCTGAAGGGACTGTAACACCATAATACCCCTGTCTCGAGGCTCTATTTTTACGAACACCTACATACATATCAATCAAGCTCAGACTGAACAATAACAAAGTCTGGACTGATTCAAAGTTCTCAGCGGGTTGTTTTTGACCTCTTTCCCAATATGAACCAATCCCCGATGTCCATCCATCCCATGTGTGACATAAAATACTCTCATAAAGCAGAGAGCTTACGAGTGTGTTTGCGATAAGACACACCGATGATCATGAACATTTTCGGCTGAGGTGATGACCTCCGCTAAGAACTGAGCAAACATTGTACGACTGGAAATCTCAGACAAGAGCCCTGCCAGGAGTCGAGCTGTGGAGGGGGAAATGTCTGTAGGATAGGCCAACAAAAAGTCAAAGCTAAAAATGGCATGTGCGACTACCTGAACAAATGAGATCGTGTTATATGGGAGCACTTGCCTACATATTGTAGCTGGCGGGAAAGACTGAACCACTGCTGACAGACTCAATGGGCACTGGGGAGACATAACAAGAGGTCCGCAGAGAGACAGCCCGGAGGAACCACCCCCTTTGGCCAGACACTTGGGACTGGTTAAGAAGCAAGTCGGACAGTGGCAAACAAATGGCAGGTATGGTTAGTAGTAAAGATTCATATTTTAAACTTTTTTTTTCAAGACAAATGTGGTGGAAATTGTTTTTTTAATTATGTGCTGCTCCATCTACTCCAGAGTGCCATCACTTAGTAAAAATGAAATACTTCTGACATCCTGCTCAGGAGCTCTCTCATAAATCAGCTGTGTAATGGTCTGGGAGGCTACTGGTCGTGAGCAAACAAGAGCGAAGAGCATGATGTAACCAGGGAGACGGAGACGCTTGCCAATTCAACACAATGTTTCTAAGTCTGGACCTTTTTTGATTTTACACAATGAACAACAGCCTAGTGACAATTTACATTTTGATGCATGTTTTAAGTGGGGCCAGAGGCCACTATACCTTAAGAAACAGCTAAATGATTGCTAAAAAAAAAAAGAAACCCACTGACATTTTCACACTCCCTGAGAATATACCAGGATCTGGTTGTGTCTCTTGCCATTATAACAATAGAATAAGTTTGTTTGATGATCAATTAGGAAAGATATTGAAAGATGAGTTCCAAGGGTGCAGAGCAGTAGGAGTTAGAGCAATCAAAATTCTCAATTGGCACATCAACAATCACTCTTCATTTTTTTCTCACATAGCAGAATAATTTGCATCCTTCTTACCAGGGATCATAACTAAAACAAACATGTGTTAAATAAAGTAAGTAAGTGTTTGTGATGAAAAAGCCAAAGTAGCAAAATTATGGGTTAGTGTAAATTTAATGTCATGAATGTTGTGGTATTCATTTCTCCTAACCATATATCATTGTGTCAGTATATTTGTTACTAGGAAAAGTATACTATTTCTGATTCTCAAAAATGTCCTACAGAGTTTTAGCCATATATGGTTCTCATGCAAAACTACCAAAGTGCAGTTAAAATGTGTCTGACATACTGTACTTATTATGTGCTGGAGCTGGGGAAACACTTAAAACAAAGGAAAGAGAAGTGAAGGAATTTGTGGCGGTTACTGTTCCTGGAGAATGAGTGGCATTCTCCTTCATTTCCTGTTCGAATGGCAATACACAGAGGAGTGGAGGCACACGTGTGTTTGCCTAGGTCTCCCACACATGCAGACACACCTGCAGTAGCTATTCCCCCCAAAACACAAGAATTTAGCTATAAACACATTTCAATGAAGTCCCATATTTGAAACAACTATAAGGCTTTGAGATTTAAGAACTAGTAATATGCGAAATATAAGATCAATAGACAGCGAATGCCACTCTGCCTCCTAGTGGCCAATATTTTTGCATTCCCAGTCTTCTGAAAACACACGCACAAGGTTTTGGAAGTCATTTCCTGCTATGATTTCAAATGAGCATGACACCTGGTTTCTGATAGAGTAGGGGGGAAGCCGCAAACTCCTAAATCATTTTTGTGTGTGTGTGTTAACTGTTGTTCTCACCTCAAGCTCAATATGCTCTGGCCTGTAATGTGGCACCAGTGGGGAACAGCTGTAGTGAAGTATGCAGAGGCAGAGGTATGCTGTGTGTGCATTAGAGGGTATTTGGCATGACCACTGTTTGTATATGCTTGGTCAAACTCTGCGGCAATGCTCAGCTAGCAGCTGGATTGAATGTTTACACACTCTTTGATGTGGCTTGCATTTATTTATTGTACATACAAAGATATTTAGGAGTCACAACCACCAGCCTCCCACAAAATCTGCAATTACCAGCTCAAAAGATACACACATTCTAAATGATATGACCATCATAGAAGATATTAACTAAATGATGAAATTTAGTAAAAGGTAAGTTTAGCTGAGGCAGGTTTAATAAATGTATGGTTCAATAAACACATAGCTGCTTTACATGATGAGGAACAGGTGCCTTTCACTCAATGCCAGGTCAGATGTACATGAACATGGTTCTATTTGAGCAAAAACAGTACGGAAATGAGCCATTGTTTTACTATCTTCAAGAAAAAAAAAAAAGGAAAAAAATCTATCAATCTGCTAACATAATCATCACAACCTCAGCATTTGAGTCCTTGAAATTCTTTGAAATTCTTTATACTTTGCTCTGTGTAAACCACAGGGCCAAAGATTTAATGATATGGTTCCAACATTTTCTGCATGAGCAATGTCTCACAGATTGCTAGTGTCAGTGCAGAAAGGACACAGGGACAGGGACTGTGAGATGCATGAAACGCAGCTGCAGCTCACACTGGAGCACCTACTCCCACCCTGCGTCTGATTGTGTAATCTGTCTTTGATATTGCAGACCTATAGGAGGAAGCATGTGTGCAGACACACACTGGTCTGTCAGCTTCTCTCGCCATAAGCCAGCAAAACACTGAGTGCTGCCAAGTCTTTTTGGACTTAGAGCTCTACTCCAGTCTTTTCCAGACTTTCCTCCCTCCTTCCCTCTGCACCCCCTTCACATGTGATTAGAAACTCCAAGGCAAGCTTTTTATATGCTCTCTGTATTTTTACTCTGAAATTGTGAATGTTCTTCATTACTACTACCCTGATTCTGTATTTTATTAGAAATCCTCAGGACTGTAGCTGTGCTGCACGGCGCTACTCAGGGATGTTGTTTCAGTGGAATGCACGGGAGCCTGCCAGAAGTCACTCCACTGGATGGACAGTGGAAATCGATCAACAGTTGTAAAGACTCAAAAGAATATGGAAACTAATTATTGTTATAACTTAAGAGTCTTTTGTTGATTTAAAACAAAAAGGCAACCATGGTTCTTATTCTAGACTGTTTTGAATGCCCTTTGCCCCACCCCAACACTCCACAGATCAGTGCCGCTTTAACACTCACTTTTTCATACATCCCATTTTTTCATGAAGCACTTCAGAAATGGTCTTTGGGTCTGCAATACAATCAAAGCCTGATAAAGTGCTATAATGCCATGTCTCTGCTGTGTCTTCTCTCAAACAAAAAAAATTGTAGCATGGTAAACCCCAAAGTTCCAGGTATTAATAATCTGTGAGCAGTGAGTTATGTAAGTCCCATGACTTATATTATACACACTATTGGTTTTGCTATTTTTCCAGTTGTAAATGCATGCTGCCAGAATAGACTTACCTTTTCCTCTGAGTGATGGGAGCAGGGGCAAAGCTTCAGGTCTGTCCCTCCTTCAGCCACGCCGGTCTCCCAAGGGGTGTGATGCCATTAAAAAACTCAAGAGGCATGCAACCAAAATGCAAAAACTTTCAAAGGTTCCTTACAGTGCTGCTCTTAGATACAAAACTCTAAATATTTCAGTTAAAAAGTTTGTAAATTTTAAAATTTATTTTTCTATCTCCAGAAAAAATTGAAGTCCATCCATGTGCTTTCTGGCAAATCAGAAAGAGCCAAAAAAGAAATTGGAGCAGAACAGCACCTTCCCGATGTGTGCCTTTTCACTCTAACAGTGGAAAAGTGAGGAGAGTGAGGCAGCAGGACAAAGAGGGATAAGGAGCAGAACATTGAGAGAGGCAGCAAGGCTGCTCTGAGCTCAGGGTCCGAGCAGGTCGGGCTTCACTCACACCACTTATAACCAGGGGCTGAGCAAGCTGCTCCAATCTCCTTGACTTACTTGGCGATCTCTCCCACTGGCTTATTTTGGGAAAAGACAGACAGGATTGTTCACTGGCTTCACCCCCTTCCTCCAAAAACCAAGTGTCTGAGGCTGGCTCTCGGAGAGGAGGGAAGTGAGCAGGATGGGGTGGGGTAGTACTCACATGGAGCTGGTGATGAGGAGAGAAGGTGAAAGCTATGGGACAGGGGAACTTACACCCTCCTACACTGTATACTCTCCCTACTTTTTATCAGTTTTGTATTCAAAGTACACAGCATTAAGTAATCAAAGTGTTTACAGCAAAAAATGGGGGGAAATTTGTTTGCATATTATAGAATATTGATGTGTTTGCTTATGAGCTTAGTTTAATTACCAGAACATAAGTATGAATGAGATACTCTACGTGTTCCAAATAATTTCAGTTTTGGTAAATGGTTACATTTTGATTATTAAGGACTGTAAATTGCCCATAATAATTTGATCCCAACAGGACTGTTCCTGGTGAACTAGGGGCAGTGTTCTCACACAGGCTAAGCATTCATTGTTCAGCTGACGTGAGCTGTATTTGTTGGCCTTGTGTGGTGGGAGTAGATTTTAGAAAAGTTTTTAGTGTTTGTTTTAGCTTGTGATTGGATGAAACTCTGAAAGGTATGCCAAGCTTTGTTCCACTGGCAGATGAGATAAGATTAAGTTATAGATAATAAATAAATGTAGGGGCACTAAATCCAGAATCTATTAATACATGAAATTATGAATGTTATTTCTGGTGCCAAACTCTTAGTTAAATCAATTAAGATAATTATATCTAATATACCTATTACATGGTTTAGATGAATCTTTTGTTTTGTTAATGGAGAAACATTTATTTTTATTGAATACTGTGGGGGGACATAAATGAACCGATTGTTATGAATGACCTCAGCGAGAAGAAGTTGATCCAGATGAATTGAATAATCACTAGAACAAACAAGCAACAGCGTCAGGTTTGTGAAAGGACCATGGTGCTCCCTGGACTTGGTGGCACTCAGAACATGGAAAGGGTGGAGTGACCAGATGCCAGGCGATGATGTCATCAATAGGAGCCCTGTGTAGTAGTGAGGCCTGCCATTCATCCACAGGTGTGTGCCTCAGTGACGACGTGTGGCCCGGTCACACCCCACACAAAGCAATAGCCCTGTGTGGCTCTGGAAGAAAAACAGTCCCCATCAACTGTTTCACTATACAGCAATACAGATTTGTCTCTCATTCTGATACCATTTGGTTAGCTGCACTTCTAGTACTTTTATGCACAGCATGTTCTGAGCTCCTCCTACTGCTTTAATTTTACAAGGTGAAACATTCCCGAGAAGAAGGAAAAAACACTTCGTTGTCATAGGTTGCTATTTTGTTCTCTCCATTCCATTAGTAAGAGTAAAAATAAACAGTACTCATTTACTGACTCACTTAAAACTACCGCATTGCATCACACAGGCCACTTGCCCTTGCCCAAAAATAAGCAGTGAAAGTGATGTTGGCAGTAATATTACACACCCCACCCAGGCCTCTGAACATAGCGCCCTATGTCCTCACCTATAAGCCTCTGTTCTTCTCTGAGGTGGGTCTGTGTGACTGAGCAGGGTGGGGTAAGCTTGTTCGATGTACATTGGCCTTGTATGTTCCCTAAGTGGCCTCTTTCAATGGTGGGAGTGTGTGAATGGGTGGAGCTGTTGTTTGTGTGCTCCAATAGAATAAACTTCCTGATGGATTACACCCCTGTTTACCTAAACATTTTGTCAATTAACACTGTTCAGTGTTGAATATGTGATTTACTTAAACAAAGATCAAACGATAGAGATATTTTAGGACACTAGAATAATGAGAAATTAATGCAGTGTGACTAAATCTGAATCAATGCTCACTTCAGCATAGGCACAACTGACAAAGATCAGTTTACAGAGAGGGAGGCATATAAAATAATTATGATTGGATTTACTTGATTTGTTTATGAAGGAGAAACAGAGCTCTACACATTTAATGTACTAAAGGGTGTGTCTAATTGGCTTTGAAATTAGTGACTGAGTTGTATGTCTCAAGGCGGAGATGTACGCACAATACTTGCATTATATATTATAGGTCAATAGCTAACCACACTCAACTGAAAAGTAAACAAAACACAAAAATATAACGCAAACAAAATTTCTAAACTAACTTCTGTAGCACACGCCTGTATTCCTACTGTATTCCTAATTGATGGGATTTTAAAAAGTCCTCCACACAATGTGTGCAATATAAAGAAGTGAAAGCCATTTAAATAATAATTTTTCGAGTGGGCAAAGTGTCAGAGGGTACTCTTCTCACAAGTGAAGTGGTCCATCTTTTGTCTGTTCTAACCTTACAAAGGAATGCCTGGCATTCACCAGGCTGTGCCTACACAAGGTGAAGGAGAGTGGGAATGGCAGAAAGCAGGAAAATAAGATGAACATGCTTGCATGGAAAAGAAGCGCACATCCAAAGAATAAAGTACCATCTTTGGCTTAAAAAGAGCATAGAATTATTTTGGGCAAAAAGTACTACAAATAGTGTGTGAACAGGGCTGTGATGTCTCATGTCTGAGGACAGCCACCTCAGACCTTGATGGGACAATACTCCCAAAGGGGATGGATGTCTTTTAGTCTGCGTGGTGCAGACACGCACATCTGAGACCACTGCTGGCAGGATCTGAGTTTCCCAGGGTAATTGTCTGATACATAAAAGAGGTAAGAGCAGCAGAAACTGAGGGGTGGCACTGTTTCCCTCTGGGAATGATTCTAAGTTCAGAGGACATTCAAAGACAGAAAAAAGAAGTAAAAATATGTGATACAGACATTAAAAATGGTAGATGTAAAGCTGGTATTGTTGTGGTCTGAGGGATCATGAGTGAGTGCTGGCTGTTTGTGCTGATATATAGCACACAGCCACATGGCTTGTTAGCCACATACATGTGTAAATAAGAGAGTGGCGACTGAATGGTATGTTACTGCTTCTGTATTTATGGTGGCTTATTTTGACCCTGGGTGGTCCCTGCTGATAGACCTTGAGTCATTAATCATCAGTAAGGAGTCGGATGTCAAGTGTGTTGAGGTTTAAACAAAGAAGTGTGCCTACTGTAAAAAAAGGAAGAGAATATGTTTTCAGTTTCTCTGCATACCAGTAGATCTGCTAATTAGCTGGGCCAAGGTATCAGGATGTTAGGATATGGCTTGCTGATTGTTTCCAGAGTACTGTTTTATTTAACAGGCTGTGAATACCTGTAAATTTTGTAAAGCCAAATAAAAATGAGAAAACTAATGTTATGCTCATGAAGCAATTTCAACATTGGCTTTGCCAATGTTGTAAAATTGAAAAATGAGAAACGAATGTGTTTAGTTTGTAAGCATCAATACAATAGAGTTTTGAAATAAATGATTAAAAATAAATTTATAAAAGTCAGAAATAAGATGGCTTTCTGGCAACAAGCATACTATCTTTGTTCTACCTTTTGCCTGTCCATAATGGGAGCCTGCCACATGCCTCCATCGTATCCCAAGCAAAGAAAAAACAGAAAAGCCATTTCCTTTACAGCAGAGGCCACAGAATCTCCAAACCTAAACAATAAGGATTAGAACAAATAAAGTGATCTGAAATTTCAGAAGCACAGCTATTGCTCCAGAACTAGCTCACATAATGCTTATAACTTTTACAGCAGGCCCACAAGAACCTCAGCCATCCCAGAGCGGCTGTCTCACCTGGTTTCCTGTGACTCTGAATGTGTCCTGACCTTAACCCAAAAGGAAGCTCTTCCCAAACAGCTGCTTCCATGAGTTCAACACGCCGCTGCTCAATATGTCATTAACTGTGAAAATTACGTGAAGGCTACATTTATACTGAAATATTTGACTTTATTGCACTGATAAATGTATGGGGAAATGGCTACATAGGAACTCAAACATTCACAAAGGACTAAAGGAAATTACAGATGATGAAACGTTGGAAAAGATCAGATTGGGCTTTGAAGGTTACGCCAGCATAAAGAGAAAACATCGTTATACATAGCAGACATGACAACATTAACTACTCTGATGGACAAGGTGTTTGGGCCATACTCATGACTTTCTGTTATTGCTTTCTGAAAAAGAGGACAGAGAGCTTTGAAACTGAGAAGTCAAATTGCATGAGGATAAAATGCAGAAGTGTTAGAATGTAGAATGAATGGTGTGCCCGCGGTTATCCTCTGCCACTGAACCACAGTTTATGACTTTGACATAACGCGGCAGGAGAAAGTGCTAACTTGGTTGTGATGGCAAAGATTTGTTGTTTTTGCTTGTTTTGTGTTTTCTGTCTGGTCTTTTCAAAAGCCTGCAGATGTGTGACTGTGTCAGAGAAAACAAGACAGCAGGCCTCCAGCTTTGGTTAGCATGGAGAGACGTGCCAGAAAAACAGACATCTGAACTACGCAAACAGCACCACAAAGGGCTTTACAGAGACCACCCACTGCTGCGGCAACAGATCAACCCAGACCTAAAACCATTTTTGGATTATGGCACTGTCCAGTTATTACAAAGACCAGCCACATGGGTTCAGCAGCATCAGAGACACATCACAAGGGTCAGAAGAGGTAGGAATGCAAAGGTAGAGGAAGTCTATCTGATGTTAGGCTTTATTTTTAAACGTAAAAAAAAGTTTTTTTAAAGTTCATGCAAGTGCACCTCCTCAGACTATTGCATCATTGCACAATAGAAGCTTTGATAATAAGTGATCATAGGTGATGAATGGCTCTGCTTTGGCCTTAATTAGTCTTTCTAATAATCATCATTATGTAGATAGACAATGCCTTTTTTCAATTAGAAATGGCCAAGTTTTAGACTACAGTAGAAGGTGCGGGACAGTTACCACAGTCATGTGATCTATTAGCACAGAAGCCTCATGCAATGCCCTCCTGCCTTTCTCTATCTGATTGCACACCTCCTGCTTGTTTATATGTGGAGATGTAAGCTCAAGCATGCTCAGGATGTCCACATTTTCTCTAATAGATTTCCTGCTTTGACTAGCCACTAGCAGCAGGCATGTCTTTGTTTCCTGAAA